TTTTTTTAGCCCTCTCAAAGCCCTGGGTTTGATTTTAAAAAGAGGGAAATTGTTTTTTTTTTTTTTTTTTTTTTTTCTTCTCTGGCTCTGAGGTAGTGTGGATCTGTAAATTTCAGCTGCTTTCCAAGTGATTGGAGGTTTTGGGAAAGCCAGTTCAAACATTGGCTAATCTGTCAAGCGCAATCAGTTTTTACTCAAATTCAGAAGCCATTGTATTCAAATCCACCACAATGTCAATTTGCCTAATTTCTCAAGCATGGGGTTGTAGATGTAAGGTCGTTTGTAAATTTTTTTTGTTAACCAGTTGTATTTCCTTTCCAATGATTTTACTAAGTAGTTAATGTCATAAAGTAAATATTATAATATTCATCTCTGGAATGAGACAAGAAAACAGGAACCATTGAGGAGTGCTGGTCTTTTTTGTAATCCTCAAGTCGTATTTGCTGAAGGGCAGAGAGTTTGATAAAGGCTTTTTTTATATCTCACTCAGTCTTTACGACAAAGAAATAAGGGTTATGACAGTAATAAACAATGTGACATTGTCAGGGGGTAGTTTTGAGTTGGTCTAAATGAGTTGCTCTGATTGGGTGCTAAATGGTCATATTTCATAGAAGTCAATTGGCCCAAGCAGGAGTACTGTACATGGTAGTTTGTCCTCTTTTGACCATTTTTCTCCACATTTAATGAGAAATACTTAGCTACAAAGAGCAATAATCTGATATGCAGTGGTTTGGGTGTACAGTTTTTGTTTTACAGGTTAAAAAAAAATCAGCTGGAATTTATTTAGCAATTGAGTGAATTAAACCAAAGCCAAACTCGGCCTGCACAAAAGGCTTTATTTTTCCACATATATATTTTGCAGTAATACTACAATAATAATAATTCTAGAGAGGATATTGTTGCTCACTGATTAAATTTACCATTTGATTAAAAAAAAGTCTCCTAACGCTCTTTTAACAACTTTTTTTATTAATGATTTCTATCCTGAAATTCAAATATTGCAATTGTTACAGCTTGTTTTTATACAACAGGATTTTTTTCCTTCATCTTCAACTGCATAGTTGGCCCTTTAAGACAAAAAAAAAAAGTTGGTCAATGGATAACAATAGTGTGTGCTTGTTTGTCTGTGTGTTTGCCAGACTAACTAGCTGCAGACAGCTATGCCAGAGAGGCCTACCCTTATTACAGCTTTGCTTTGACGCCTGCAGAAGCTTTTCACAAAGATCTCCTTATGACCAACTGCAAAGGCTATATTTACCTGAGACAGGAGGAATGGAGAAGGGTTTTATCAGTGTGTGTGTCGGGGGGTGGGTGGTAGAGGGGGTGTCTCTTTTTAGTTTTGGTCTTTGGGCTGTTTAAGAGATTGGAGTCGCTGTTGTTGTGAGGGGCTTTTATCTGTCATCTCTGATCTCCCCAATGGGCATAGCTTTGTAATTCAGTTGTGTCAGCACTGAGGCTCTGGAGTATGTTAGATAGACTTTTGACACCTCAGTGGCAGCCTGGACCCAATCCAGTTTGCCTTGAATCGCAAAGTCTGTTGTCACCTCTTCTTTAATGCCATTGAGGCATTTTGGGGACAAAACGTTCCATTTTTATTCTTGAGGCTATATTGCTTTGTCTAGTTTAGTAATTCTGTTTCACAGCTGCAATAGAGTGCTGAAGGTTTTGGACATGGACAAAGATTGTCAAAGACTATCCTGGACTGTCTAAAAGCAGAGTCATACTCCTAGCCAATTCAGGTTTAGAGTTATGTTTTATTCTCACGAACATGGGTTGTTTGACTGAAAGTATTAGGGCAATTTGGTATTATGTTGAGTCAATTCAACAACATGATAATAACAAAGGGGAAACTTGGAACAACATGGAGTTCAGCAACAAACAAAAAAATCTCAAAATCCCAGTGGAAACATGCAAAAAGAAAGTGGTCAGCTGTTTACAAGAAGCATTTTTTCATTTATTATTGAGAGGTGTATACATTTTCCACATACCAATTTTTTTAATAAAATTCAAATGAAGACAGAAATTAGTCTTTTAATTACTGGCACTCCTTTTGTAACATTTTAATTATCGTTTGAGAGACACTTGTTTCCTATCAAAAACAAACTTCCTAGTTGAATAAAAACAAATTAAATCTATCGAAGGTGTTTATTATTAATAATAATAATAATAGGCTGAATTTTAGGCGTAAAATGGGTTTGCAAACTCGTAAAGAGACAAATTGACTCGGAGTAGATTTCTCCTACAAGAAATCCATATCGCTTTGGTATCTTGAGAGTTTGTTGGATAGGTCAACACCTCAGACAATGTCTTTTATGAGGGATCATGTTGCTCTGTGCAGTGATCTGACTACACTGTAAAAAGGTTTGGGTGATTGACAAAGGTCAAATTAACAACTATGTGAATGCCAGCATGCAGATTTTTTCCAACAGAAGACTGAATGAAAACGAAAATGGATGCTTCGTCCCCTTTTCAGCAGTTCAACGGAGTGGCTGACTGGTGTTCAGCTCTCTGAAAACAGACCCACCTGCTTTAAAACTTCTGGTCTGTGTTTTGCGAAGTGATCTGTTTTTAGTGTCTTAATATTTTGGAAATAACTGATATACGTTTTCACCTGCCTAGCATCTTTTGTTTGTTGCTCTTTAACCTGCCGTTGGTTGGTTATGGAAAACCCCCACTCTGTGTAAAACTTGTTTCTGGAGAGCAGCTGTAAGTTCAGAAGTGACCCTTTAATGACACTGTAATTTCATCCCTCGGCACAAAAATAACCGCAGTGTAAAGATATTATCTTAGTTGAAATGAAAAAAAACAAAAAACAAAAAAAAAAAAACAGCCCTGAATGAATATTTATTCCAGATGACTCGGTGAGACTGTTGATTAGAGGACAGTATGGTTTCATCCGATTGCATCTCTATAAATGTTCAGTTTTAAATTTTCTTTTAGACACCGTGTTTCTTACTTCTCAGGAAGGACAGTCATTGTCCTTGACAACCGTGGCATGCAAATTGTTAAGTGTTCAACACATTAAAAGAGGTGAAAATAAAAAGGTGTGATTTTACATTGTGAAATGTTATCAATGTTAGAAGGTGCTCCAGCTCTGGAAATTTTTTTATTCTTTTTCCTCCATCTCTGACAATGTTTAACTGTTTTGAATCACGTGAAAGTTGTTTAAGAAGTAAGTTATTGGTCTTGGTGGCTTGGGAATTGAAAGCCAATCTTGATGTCATTTCTGATACCTTTCCAAGAATAGTTTGCTGGGTGTGCCTATGTTTTAAATGTGGGTGGATGGGTGTGCAGATTCTTTACGACGTGCCTGTTTTTTCTTTTTTAATGGGACAAAGTTGTACAAATTACAGATTTCCAGTTATGTTAAATGTGGAGGGAGGCTGACGAGCTCATCTCCCAAAGGTGTCTCAACCTTTTCCTGCTTACCATATAAGTAAAATGATGTAGACATTTAAAATGCTCAGCTCAAACCAGTATGAAATACTAGGTACGTGTAGTTTTTACTCCTGGCAAGTAAAAGTAAAGGATCTGTTGAATTGATTTATTTTTAGATCACTTTAATAAATGGTTGGATAAACCAGTTCAGATTTTTGCGCATCTAAGCATTAAAAGTTTTCCAGTAGAACTGATAACCAAATAACCAAAAAAAAAAAAACTGCAGTGGTAGCCAACCACACTGCCGCATCGGAAATGAACTTGATTGCTGTGTTAGTTACATTTATTATTTGTGGAGGTGATAAAATATTAACCCCTGGTTTAATATTTCATTCTCAAACGTCCAGAACATCTTAAAAAGTGCCACAGTTGGGGTTTATTCGGAAGCGTTTCCAGTTTTGTACACTTCAAATTAAATATTTTAGCACTAATTTGAATTGAAACCACTTTTATTGATGCAAAAACATCGAAATACCTTCAATTTAAGGTTACAGCTTAAAGAACACATACACATTATCAAAAGGGAAAAAAAAATGTTTGAACTTGTGGAAGATGATTAATATTGTGATGTTGACTTCTTTCTTTCCTTTATCACTCCCACAATCTATATATGTTTCATTTTTCACACTCACTTTAGCTCACTAAGGTTCAGTGCATTTTTTTCAGCCCAGTAAGCAAACACTTTTGTAAGTCTGTGCAAATTGTCTATAAACAGTTGTGTCCCACACACAGGCTACTTCCAAGAATGGCCTTTTTCACCTCGGACAGGTAATCATTGCTCAACCATGGACAAACCTGTGGGCCTCTGCAAACCGAAACACAAAACCTTTTCCTGAATCTGCCCTGTCGTCACATCTGTCCTTCTCACCCTCCGTCAGTTGACTTGGCTTCTACTTGGTGGCAGTGGATGTTGTTTTGTTTTTTTCCTCGCTTGGGGTCAAAGGGTTTTGTTTTTTTTACTTTGCTCCTCTGAGGTGGTTATTAAAAGCCTGTCCATAAATAAACTAAGTCTGATCCCTGTTGGACACCTGTGGTATTGTGTAATGATTGGAAGAGATTGTGGGATTTTGATGAAGTTTACTTGAACATGAATTTCCAGAGATGAAATGGTCTAAAAGCTGTAGCTATACGGCACTATTAAAGTTTGCTACAAATGTCATCTAACTTAGATTACATTTTATTAATCATCAAGCTCCCATGCGAGAAAATTAGATCTCATTATAAACCATGTCTGGTTTACAAAATCTATGAAAAATAATGTTTTATTTCTCAGATTTCTACAGGTGTTCATACATAAGGCTAAGGATTATTTCTGGATGGGGCTGCCCTTTATGTAAAAATCACTATGACTTTCTCTCTGATTAAAAAAAAAAAAAAAAAATCAAACTGATGCTTTTGGTGCACCAGGTAATTTCTCTCAACATTGTGGTTTTCCCCTCTTTATCCCCATTTCGGTTTTCCAAAAATGCTCTCATGGAACCCTCTCAAGTTTATCTTCTTCATTTCTTCCCACCAGACAAGAGATGATTTCCTTGGACAAGTTGACGTTCCCCTCAGTCATCTGCCGGTGAGTTGTTTACGTGTTTGTGTGTATATGTACGCACCGTTTCAACACTGTTCTGAAGACTCGGCTGTTTCTTATCATTCAGCTTTTGCTGTGCTTGATTAGCCCCCATGAAGCTGTGTTTGTGTGTGGGAAAGTGCCTGACCCAGCTTGTTGTTGTGAAACGGCAACAGCACTATTCTAGGGATAGAAAGCTGGCATTGGACAATGTAAACACACTGACTCTCAGTTGTGAAACGTGACAACCCGTGGAAAAAAACCCCCCCAAAAAACTTCACGATTTCACCCTTGAGTGCTGGGAAGTTGTTCTTGAAAACAATCTTCACAATCAGTCAGCAATAAATTT